TGTACCAGAACCATACAGCACGCTACATTTTAGTAAGTAGTTGATACTGATCGTTTTCTGTATAATCATTCCTCTCTATTCTCGCTAGTGGTTAATAGGTGTCAGCCTAGATACCATAATTTGCCTAATTTCCATAAAAAATTTAACATTTTTTCTTTATTGAATACCGCAAAAACACCTACAGGTGTCTAGTAGATTCTTCGATCTGAATGGTATCAATAAGGTTACTTATTCTGGAAGCCTCGTGGGGAATCTCCAATCTTTGAATTTCAAAGAGCAAAGTGTCCCTGGTTTTAGGTATGTATAATATTCATTATGTCAATATGGTATGTCGTATTTCGGCCTGAGATGTATGTGCCACCAATTCACCTGAAAATCTGTACTTCATGTATATTTTCATTTTAGAGTGTAACCTTCAATACCAAACCTGTACAAACTTCAGTTATTATAATAAACGGAACTGGTGAAGCATCCTTAAATCGATTGCTCCGAACCCCGTAACCCCTCAGTTAATATATACGAGGTAGAAATGATAACAATAGAAAGTACAATCGATAAGTCATTCATTCCATAGTGACGATTTCAAAAATGGGGTAGGTACGCCCCAATAGGAATACAAAATCCCACTAATGAAACTATTTCAAAATGTCAAAGAGACAGTGATATACCACGCGATATAAATCGTTCTACATAAATAATAGTAATGATTACGATACAAAGGAACCCGCACATTAAGTACGGAAAATGGCTCAAATTTACAAATCGATCCTATAAATAGTTTTTGAGTTACAGAATGTCATTCATTCGATTTCGACTGTTTAGAATATTTCGCATCAATTTGAATCATGTTCTCTGAGTCGTGATAAATCTCCAGTAAAAATTAACGCTACACGTCTAATTTCAACCTCCAGAATCCTTGAAAATATCAGAATTTCGATTTTTGCTCTATTACTGAAAACTTGAAAACGAACTGCTAGAATGGGCCAATTATTTGACACACTATGAATCTTGATCATCAACAAGAGGATTCATATGATTTCCTCTGATACAATGTCTGGTTTGCCATATATATATATATATATTTGAAAACATAGAATTGATCTAACTCATGTACAAAATGATATACATTTCGCGAATGTTTCATAACTGTTTATATAGGCATGAAATATCCCCACCAACCCCCTGATATATTATATGAATAGTTAGGAACCATTCGTTTTTACATGAGTAACATCAATTCTAAGCTAGCAAATTGTCATCACCCTATATGTGGCGAACCGGAGATTGTATCAGAAGAAATCATATGAATCCTCATGATGATGATCAAGATCCATAGTGTGTCAAATAATTGACCGATTCTAGCCGTTTGTTCACAAGTTTTCGGAGATTGAGTCAAAATCGAAATTCTGATATTTTGAATATTTGTCTAATCCCATGAATATTACCTTGTGATGGAATGCAATACCCTGTATGTGATATTATTATCTATTCGAATCAAGGGATTCATGAGGTAGAAATTAGACGTGAAGCGATTATTTCTACTGAAGATTTACCACGACTTAGAGCACATATACAGAATACGCGATGATGAGTTCTCCTCAAGTAAAATTATCCGGAAGTAAAATACCTCTCCATTCGGATTTCCGGGCGAGAGGTGCTAGAGGGGGTTCACCATCGGCTGAAAAAGTCCTCAAGATAGACCTATGTAACATCCGAGGTCTAAGTAAGAACATCAACGATGTCCATCGACACCTTCAAATTGAAAAGCCAGACATATTGGCACTTACTGAGACACAGGTCAATTCATCGACCAATACGACCTATCTGCTCTGTCCTGGGTACGAACTCCACACACGTTTCAGATTCAAGGGAGGTCTCTGCCTCTACTCTAAAACGAATCTCTCATGTCAACGAGAAAAAACTTTGGAACCCAATAAGTTTGATGTCATGTGGTTCAAACTCGATAGCCAGAAACAGACCAAATACCTTTGTTGTCTCTACTTATCACCAAATGATCCATCCTATGGGGAGCTCTTCGAATTCTTGTCTCTGAAGCTTGACCAAATTCAACAGAACCATCCAGCAGCAGAAATCATCATCATGGGCGATTTCAATGTACACAACACTGCTTGGCTCGTGCACTCTAACAGAACGGATGAAGCAGGGCGACAAGCCGAAGCTTTCGCCATCACTCACGGCTTAGAGCAGCTTATCAAAGAACCCACACGAATTCCCGATGCCAATAACCATTCAGCTAACATACTTGACTTATTCCTCACGAATAATTCAGCACCCTACACCATAGATGTACGAGCTCCACTTGGCAATTCTGACCACACACTCATCTCCACAACCTGCCCATTTTTCATTCCATCAACTGCTCCAGCACCCCCACGTCTTATATGGCATTACAATTCTGGAGATTGGGACGGTCTCCGCATGTTTTTCTCCTAGTTTCCTTGGCATAGAGTATGCTTTGACTCTGAGGACCCTTCACAGTGTGCTGCAGAAATATCCGAGATCATCATGCTCGGAATGGAAACATACATACCTCATTTTTCGAAAAGATCATCACCTTCGAAACCCTGGTTCAACAAAAGCTGTTCTAGAACTGTTGCCTTGAAACAAACAGCCTACCATCGCTGGCGCAAAAACCCTAACCTCGCGACTAGAGCAGAATACGTTGATGCCAGGAATAACTGCAGCCAAACAATAGATGCTTCGAAAGAAACATACAATGCCAAGATCAAATCGAAACTCATAGATTGTCCCAATGGCTCCCGTTCGTTTTGGTCCCTTGCTAAAGCGGTCGGAAGAAATTTCACGAACAGTTCATTTCCACCACTGTCCAAATCCGACGGCACATTAGCAACAACATCGCAGGAGAAAGCGAATATTTTTGCAGAAATTTTCGCAGCAAACTCTACTTTAGATTCCCAAGGAAAAGTGCCGCCAGACATTCCACCCGTTGAGAGTCGAATGCCCGAAATCGTCTTCCGTCAACGCACTATCAGACGAATTTTGCTTGGTCTCAAAACGAATAAAGCTAACGGTCCTGATGGAATTCCACCCATTATCCTCAAAAAATGTGCACCAGAATTAACACCGATTCTCTGCAAGTTGTTTACCATCTCGTACAGGTCGGGTTTTTTTCCATCATGCTGGAAGACATCTAGAGTCCAACCAATCCCCAAAAAAGGGAACAAGAACCTGCCCAACAACTACAGGCCCATTGCCCTGTTATCAGTAATCTCCAAAGTGATGGAGAAAGCCATCAATATTGAGCTTATCAAATATCTGGAGAGCTCAGGAATCATCAATGATAGACAATACGGCTTTCGCCACCGAAGATCTACTGGAGATCTACTTGCCTACGTCACCCATTTATGGCAATCTTCAATAGAAAAACACGGGGAATCTCTAGCTGTCGCGTTGGACATATCGAAAGCATTCGACCGTGTTTGGCACGAAGGACTCCTCCACAAACTACCATCATACGGCTTACCACCTCAGCTATGCCATCTCTTATCGAGTTTTCTTTCAGGCAGATCGCTTCACGTGGTGGTGGACGGTGTATCGTCTGATACCATCGGCATCAATTCCGGCGTTCCACAAGGATCAATTTTGGCACCAACATTATTCCTGCTTCATATCAATGATCTGTTGGGAGTAACAACTTGTCCCATCCACAGCTTTGCAGATGATAGTACCCTCCATACTGCTTTCTCTTCCAGAATTCCCATTTCTTCCCAGGAAACTAAGACCTCACGGCGCAGGCAGGTCAATGCTGTCAATGAAGATATTGCTGAAATCACAGCCTGGGGAACAAACAACCTAGTTGAATTCAACGCCACCAAAACTCAAGCCTGCATTTTCTCTAGAAAGGCGGAACTCAGTATGCCCGATATTGTAATGTCTGGCTCCACCATCCCCACCAAGCCCACCATATCTATGCTCGGTATTTCCATCAGCAACACTCTTTCATGGGATAACCATGTCAGATCCATCGCAAAGCTGCTTCCCAAAAACTCGGATTCTTGTTCCGTGCGAAAAACTACTTTACACCTCAACAGCTTCTCATGATCTACAAAGCGCAGATACGGCCTGTTCTAGAATACTGTTCCCATATATGGGGTTCAGCACCAAAACATACGCTGATGCTCTTAGATTCCATCCAGAGAAGAGCCATTCGCCTGGTGGGTGACGCCATACTCACTCACTCTTTAGCATCATTAGAACACCGTAGAAAGGTCGGCGACCTTTCACTTTTCTATCGATACTTCCACGGGAAATGTTCTTCGGAAATCTCTGCTATCATCCCTTCACTAGCAATACCAATCAGACGAACTAGACAAGCCCAGTCAGCACATCCTTTCGTTGTCAACCTCGAAAGATGTCGAACAGCACTTTATCAAGACTCCTTCATCCATAGAACGGCTAGGCTCTGGAATTCATTGCCTGTGGAAGTGTTCCCAACAACATATAATCTCCAAAAGTTCAAAAAAAATTCCAATACCTACCTCCTGTCCCTATCCTCCCTAGGAACGCACGATGTTCTTTGAACATTATAGGGATTCCCTCTCGTGCGCTCCAAGCGATAAAAAAAAAACATAATTCAAATCGACGCAAAATATTCTTAACAGCCAAAAATCAAATGATTGACACCCAGTAGCTCGAAAACTGGTCATCAGATCGATCTGTGAATTGGACTGTGCAATAATAATGACGCTGATATCTGAAACCAATCAAACTTCAGAAGAATTAGCCGAAAGCCATTTTCCGTACTAAATGTTCGGGGTCCTAAGTGTTCTTCTAGTTGAAATATCTCTGAATAACGTAACAATATATATTCTTCTATTATCGTCATTTTGGTATCAGTTAGATTATGTAGATAACATCAGTCGAAACGAGTGGATACTTGAAGTTTGATCACTTCCTAGATTGTGACATACATAAATACCCAATGCTTTGATGAATTTGACGTCATAAAGTTACAATATTTCAATAAGGTAAGTCGATTTCATCCAGTCCAAAAACATTTTCGTTACTCAATAACAGTCTGATTATGGGCATCAAAAATACATATTCGCTTCTTCAAAGTAATAGTACTCAGGTTCTTGAACTTTCACAATAATTATCATTGTACTTAGAACAGTCTTTTTGTACCAAGTATCACACATCTGAAGAAGAAGCTCACCTACCGGCATATAAATATGACACTTGTCCAAAAGATCTGTATATTACTTTCCAAATGTTGAGAACCATCGAACGAAAACATATGCGTAAGTTCAGTAATCAGATATTTTTGTTCACGAATTCTATTATCTTTGTTTCTCATTACCAACCCTACAAAAACTGTGATGACTCACTCTGTTTGAGTAGAAATATTCTCTTCGTTAACTCTAGTTAGGTGTTTTACTATTACTTCATTCAGTGTTATCATTGTGAAAGTGCTAGTTTTTCTCATGTTTCACATATGTAGATCTGAAATGTATTCATCTTTCTATATATTTATGTGTATATTGTTATTTCAATCTCTCTAGAAACAAGTTCCACACACTCATCGGGTATTATTTTTTATCACTATATCATTCACCATTACAACTCTTCATAAGTATTTAAACATACCTAGTGAATGAATATATTGTAATGATATTTCCCTGTACCACGTGTTCCAGATTGTTATCGAACAACCGAATAATTCTGATATATACCAGCGTATTTTTGAACACACACAATATGTATCGTGAAGAGAAAATATTCTAGAAAAATCTCGAAACAACCGATGGACATATCAGATGGAGTAGTTATGTTTCTGAGGAAATTCAGAATGTTATGGAAAACGATCCCAGTAAACACATACTAGTTAATAAAAAGTTGAAAAGGTGAGGGTTGGTATCGTGGTAATGACGTTACTGATTGAAAACTTCAACGTTGGAATATAGTTGAAAAAAAAAACAGTAAAATTAACACGTTATTCAAATGATGCAAATTCAGCAATTCATAATTCATTACATTGTGTTGATCTACAACCACTATTAGAAGTTGAAGCAAAACGTTGATAATTTCAAGCAATATAGCACGTCATTCTATTATTGAAACAGCTTCTTCACAATGTACGGTAAGATAATTGCCAGTAATAGTCTGTTCATGACGTTAAATAACAATAGATTGAAACAACAAATCGTTGTTTATTTCAACGATTAAAATTCACATATAACTTTTGATGTACTTGATGCGTCGTTTGATAGTGAACTGATGATTTTGAAAATATGTGAAAAATTACAAATAATCATTTCATATTGATTGAGTATACTTAGTTGAAAACGCGTTCATGTCAGACATTTTCACGTTATTCCAACCGACCGTTGTGGTAATTTTACCTAATTATTTAGGAGTGTATTCACTTGAATTGAATCATCAAGAAGCCGATGAACCTCTGGTGTACACTTAAATCCTTACATGTTTTACAATTCCTTGATTTCGGCCTACTTCGATGAACATAACATGGCGTGGGTGAATTTCGCTAGTCTGGTGCCGTACCAGAATTAAAGGCATCAATGTCGTCAATGTGATAAAAAATGTGACCGAATTGTGACCAATGATAGAAAATACATTTTGCGATTTTGCCGCATTGAGGTTGGTAGAACTGATGTTGATCATAAGTTCTAGGAATCACGCTATCTAACATCCGATATGTGAGCCCCACGTCATCGACTGAAATTCAATTGTTTATATCAAGAGCCAGTCTGACAAAACAAATGGAGAGTGAGCGCACCAGAGGTTTATTCCATCAATAGCCAAGATACGCTAAGGCAACTAATGTAGAGGGTGTTCCGTAATATGTGAGACACAGTTCGGGATGTGATAGGGAGTCATGAAAGGCATCGCTTGCGAGATACAGTGAAGTCGAAGATGAAAAAATAATGTTCATTGAATCATCTAAATAACCGCTGAACGAATATTCTAGATATTCTGTCTAGAAGGCTCTGTTGAGCTGGGTACTAGCATTGTGGTCGCATAAAGGATGAAGAAGCAACCTTATTCGGATCCACCGTTGTCGAGCAAGTGCGAGAAGAGGTCCCAAAACAGAAAGCAAAGCGCCATCATACTTGGCAAGAAGTAGCGCCATCTTCACACACTTTGAAGGCGTGCTGAAGTGAGACTCCCTGATATCAGGAGACAACCTGCTGATGAGGAAACTCGAGAGCGATGATTAGTCAAAATAGCCGGATAGAGCTAGTGACGACGTCAGGAAACGGTAGCGTGTAATCTAATCGTAAACCTAGGCCCTTCAGCAGAGAGTTGAATTATGGAAGCCTCTTCGAGAAGATCGTCATGGATATTAATGGGACGTTTTTGGTGACAGATGATAAAAATAAATACAGTCTTGTCTGCTAGGACTACTTCCCCAAGTGAGTGGAAGCGTTTGCGCTCTCTCAAAAGGAGGTCGTTACTGTAGACGATGTCTTACTGAACCAAAACTCATTAGTCGTTCAGGGATACGTTTGGAACTGCATTCTGATCAGGGTCAGAATTGTGGGATCAGAATTTACCAGACCTAGTGAGGACGTGGTGACAGAAGTTGACCTGCATTACTGATCTGATGGAAAATTGAACGAAATTCACGAATCGGTTCGTTTCTGATCTGGAAATTGCCAGCGATCGCATTGTGGACCAATAAAACATCAGAGCGGGGGGTGCAGGATTCGCATAAGGGGACCTGATGTGGTTATACAATTCACAAGTGCATAAAGGTAATTGTTCGTAACTTCGGAGAATTTGGGGAGCATATTATTCCACCATGGAGAAGATCAACAATATCACATCAGTAAGGACACCAGTGGCAGACCAAGAGTCGTACATTTCAACAGACTGCGAACTCAAGGTCATCAAGTACAATAGTTCCGTCTAGAAAAAGAGGTACTTCCATTCGACGAAATCATAGGGTCATGCTTATAGTGGTTCATCGAAAGCAAGGTTTGGCATCATCAAGGAAGACCACCGCGACCTTTCCGCCAGTTCTGTAGACTATTCACTTGCTCTCTCAGTCGCCCAGGATCTCCATATATCTCAAGAAATAGCCAACATCCTCATGAAGGAATTCTGCAAGTTGAAGAAACTTCAACAGGGTCCTTTCGTCAGTCGCTCTCTAGAAAAAGAAGATATCAGCACTGAAGGGGGAGAAGGTCACTGTTTTATCTAACAAGGATGAAAATATTCTATCAGACTCCTACTCACGAAGACCTCTGGGATACGCTAGTCGACCTACGAAGCGCCATAACCAAGAAGGACATACAGAAAATCTCTGTTCCAAAGCTGGCTTATGGTCTGGATGGCTTGAATTGGAGAATTGTTAGAAACATGTTGGAGGTTATGTTTCAATTCACCAGATTCTGAATTTTGATATGTTGCTGAAATCCCAGAGGAAGTTTGAGAGAGATGTCAATGCCATGTTACTGACATTTCGTTTATCGAATCGTTACGTATAGGGCATTCGGATACATTCATCGCAAGAGACTGATTCAGCTAACTTTAGTCTCTGCCTCCGTCTCTACTTCCTACAGTAACACCACCGCTTCACTCCATAGCTGAAAATGTTGCCAAATGCCAACCTTTTTCAATACTCCTGTATGTAACAAATCGATAAACAACCTGTTTATCGTACTTCATGTTTCAGAGATTGAAACAGTTTTTGCTACATTCATGACGAACGAAGTGTATTTCATGATGAATGAGTTTTCATGAGGGGGCAGTGCAATAATATTTCTCTGAGAACGGCTGAGATATAATCAAGTAGGCAATTCTACAACGATCTTGCTGTACCACGCGTTTCAGATTGTTCTCTAACATCTCAATAATTCCAAACACTATATCAAAGAGGAAGGAGTGATGTTCTGGAAGAATATTTAGAATGGTATGGAAGACGATAGAATAAAATATCGGCTGGCGCAGTGACAGTCAGTATATCGGCTAGTGTCAACTGTATACCGCGTGTTTTGGTCTGTCCGAAATAAATAGTAGTGATTAGTAACCTTAGGCATATACACCAGTATTCACTTCTGCCCACGAATAACGCAACAATGATCATCATCAAGAGTTCAGTTTTTTTTCTAGTTCTAGATGAGAATTGAGATCGGTTATGATTTTTTAATTCGTAAGTTCTTTACAGAAATATCAAAATGAAACTGATCATCGCCTTTGCTGTTCTCATTGTCTCTATCAGCGCTGCTTCTGATCAGGAGTTATGGGCTGATTTCAAGGTGAGGAATATATATTTGAATTGACAAATATACCTGATGGAAACATGTACAAAAGTTATTCCTGACGGGTGAATATTCAATGATTTCTGCTTGAAAAGAAATCTGGATTTCGAATTCCTGACTATTATCTCGAATACACTTTCATCCAGGAGAAAATTCTCTTTGAGATAGAGAGTATTGGAATTGTGAAAATGAGTATATCATTTCAAAAATTGCCGAAACAACTGCAAAAAAGAATTTTTAATTTTGCCACGGTATGAGCTGATTTTTTTCCATAATATTAAGGAAATTTTGAAAACAAGCAGAAGAGATGTGGGTATTCCATCATACCTTTAAGAAGGAATCATCCACGCCACTAACTCCATTGCAAATACAATACTTTCATTCAATTCTCCAATCTTTCACGAAGAAAATTATCCTCATTCCTTTTTTGTGCGGTGCAATGTTTTCGAGATATTTTTTTTTCACTAATGTCATCGCAGAATGAATATGATTTCAACAAAGTATTCTATGACTCAGTTCCATACATTCTGAAAAGTATCATCAATGTCATCAATAATGTTATCAATAATAATTCCATCGAGCTATACCTGCCGCAATTCATATCTTACCCAAGAACGTTTCAGCATTTTGTCAACTTTTCGAGGGCCTTCAGCTATTTTCCGACATCTTTCACCTGAACACCCCTTGTCAATGCAATCTGACAGGTTGTCCAAAAACAGTGGAGTGAGTCTATTCTGCGAATGGTAGTCCCGTTACAATAGTAAAACTCCTAGTCATCTTCAAAATCATAAATATAGAGGCATACCCACAAATCCAACTCGATGAATTCATTCATATCAAATTGTGAGAATGACTAGAAACTTCACAAATATTTTATTCATTTACCCCACTCTGAGATACTATGGACATCTACTACGACTTTTCATTGTAAATAGTTCGATTCTGAAATTCAGTAAGTCTAATAGATTCTGATCATTCCATTTGAAAATGAAACTGATAATTCTCATAAGACTGATCTAAGTACATCATGAGCCAGCATAGTTACTACAATGAATATGACTCTACAGGGTGAGTCAGAATAAGACCGACAGACTACGTACACGGATTCCTCAACTAATTTTTAGGTGAAAAGTTTTTATCAACGTATATTCTGAAATGCATTCTCACTCAGATACAGGGTGTCGGAAATACGAGAGAAGTTGAGATTTCTCTAAATTTCACTAGAACCCCCGTGGCAAACAATATAAAACTCGGTTTACCGATCCAGGTTGATCAGGATAATCACTTCGAGTATTCATTACCCAATTTCGTCAACCAGTCGCGTTGTTGGGGTCGTATATCGCCACATGCTCCTTCATATTTTCTTTAGACAGATTATTTGTCAAATTGGTGTATGACATCAGTTAGGCCTATCAATATCTAACCTGAAAGTAATAATATTTTGCATGCCCAAGTGTGGAGATTCCAAAGATATTTGCAAAAAACTGAAGATATGTCTTGAGGTTGAGACCCAATTCGTATTTTTCAACCTCCTGAACCTTTTTCGATGTTGATAAAATTGAAAGCATTGTTCGTGTGAGTCAGAATCAGTTCGAGAAACCTCTATAACTCATCATCCCATACTTTATTTTGAAGCCCATTCGAACATTCGCTTCGAATTGAGTTTTTGTATTTCCTTCAGCGCATACATATTTTATGTGCCGAATAATTCATTAGAATAGTTGGAATTTGTTACTGTTTGACATATTGAAAACGTTGCTATGTTTTCCCTTAATTGAAAACTGTCGTTTTAATAGTTTGATGGTTCTGACAAATTCAAGATGGCTTAAGACTAAATTGTTCTATAATTGTTTTAAAATTGTTCCAAAACTGTTCTATTCGTCATTCGGTTGCCCCCTTACGAGCAACCCTCAGAATAAGTCTTCGAGAGTCTTGTGCGAGCAAGGAATGACAGGGGCCTTACCTCTTATTAACGTTTAATCCCAAACACTTTCTTGTATCATCAGGAAAATTTCTGCAGTCGATGGAAATCGAACCCACGACCTGCAAGCGAATGCGGCTTAGAGTATTGACACTCTGCCTGCACGGCTACCTGGCCCCTCTATTAACTATGGAGTTTGTCGATTTTCCTCTGACCCGCCTACACTATGTTTTTAATTTTTCCGACATTCAGAAATATTCTGGGGGTTGAGAAGTAATATCAATATCTTGTCAGCATTATGCGATTATGGTACGCAGCAAATTAGGCCTCTACTCAATATTACCTCAAGACATGTCTTGAGTTTTTCGAAAATATCTCCGGAATCTCTACATTAAGACATGCAGAATGTCATTACTTTCAGGTTGAGTATTGATAATCCTAACTCTTGTCATTTACTAATTTGTTAATTGATATGTCTGAGAAAAATTTTGAAGGAAAATCTGGCGACATACGACCCTTATTACTACGCCACTGGTTTACGAAAACTCCCTGTAATTACTCTGATTGATCTGGATTGGTATATCAAGTTTCAATTCTTGTTACAGGGGTTCTGGAGACATTTAGAGAGATCTGAACTTTTTTCGTACTTTCGACACCCTGACTCTCAGTGAAGATGCATTTCAGGACATAGTTGATAGGAACTTTTCACCTCAAAGTGAGGTGAAGAATTCGTGTAAGGAGTCTGTTGGTCTCATTCTGATTCACCTTGTATACACTTCATAAAATATTTGTCTCTGACAGAAAACTCACGGAAAAACCTACAAGAGCCTGAAAGAAGAAAAACTTCGCTACAACATCTTCCAAGACACCGTTCGTCAAATCGCTGAACACAATGTCAAATACGAAAATGGCGAGTCCACCTACTACCTAGCCATCAACAAATTCTCCGACATCACAGATGAAGAGTTCAGAGCGATGATGATGGAAAACGTGGCATCGAGGCCTAGTTTGGAGGGTGTGGAACAAGCCAATTTGACAGTCGGAGCTGCCCCTGAATCCATCGACTGGAGGTCAAAGGGAGCTGTTCTTCCTGTTAGAGCTCAAGGACATTGTGGAGGTTGCTGGGCATTCAGTGCCGTGAGTTTTTCCGAGTATAATGTTTTCAATAACGAAGTGAAGACCTAGTAGGTCTATTAGGGACTCTAATGCGATAACCTGAATGATATTGGGAGGACTCAGAGGTACAACCCTGTGCAGAAACGACTGAATTTGATGTTAATCTTTCGATAGATAATCTGGTCTTCCCCGAGAGATATATTGAGCAGATGCTGAATTATAATATTGGTGTATTTACTCATACAGGGAGAGCACCGGAAAAAATAGTATAAGGACTAATTTCTTTTCATTTCTCAAATTGAATCATCAGTCGAATACCTTCTAATTCCACATTTTTTCTCCAATTTGCAGTCGATTCAAAGGTGTCAAAATCATTTATAATACCACGGCAATTTTGAATTGATGGAAATTCACCTCGAGTAAAAACTGACGTCACGATTTAGTAGGTAGGGACAGACCATAGCCCAGTTGCCATATGCTGAAGAAGGATTGGAAACTTCAGAAATATCATTTATTCAATAATCAATCAATCAATCAATTGTCTCAAAATGTGCCCTCAAATGTTGTGGCGAATCGAATATGAAATATTTATGCAAATAATAATCATATTGATAGGCAATTTCATTATGCCCTTTTTATATGGCGAACGGTCTCATTCATGACTCAATATATCAAATAGCAATTCCTCTCATCTATTGATTCCTCTACGACCGTTTAAATAATACTTGAGAAGTGCTACAAATCGGGAGAGTTTCAAACGACCATTTTTCGCGGTGTGACGTCACTTGTAATTTCTTCAGTCTCCCTCTGACGACCCAAACCCTAATAACACAATAACATCTGTAAGCCGTCGTAGAAACATCCATATGGGATGATAGGAACATCTCTGGAAAATCCCTATTTTCCTTGGGACATTCTTGGGATGTTGCTGTCAACACCCTTGTCAGCATTTGCGATGTCTCATAAACATCCCATCAGAATGTTTGTGGGATGATACGGGATGTACCAGAGACATTCAGGGTACTTGATATGGAACATCTTAAAGAAACTTCTAGGATGTTTTTTGTTTGAAGACAGTAATGGATGACACGGTATGAATTATTTTCAATCTGAAATCCTGAAAATAGACGACCTATTTCCAGATATAGAGTAACAATCCGATTCCGAATATATAAGGTCGGTGCGGTCGAATAACTAATGGAAGTTGATAACAGTTGTTTGAGGCTCATATTTGTTGGCGCTGGGCCGACGGCTGTTAGTAACTCTTAGCAACGTAGTTGTACCGCCATCTATCGGCTGGTCTAACAAATAAATTCAGCAATAAATATGCTGAAGAGATATATTTCAATTTTGTCGTGTATTACATGGTTCATGATGTTAAACAGGTACTTTGGTAATCCTATCGAGGAATATTTAGTATAATTATTTCAATTTGTTATCGATGAAATTAGCCGGCTTTGGTATAGGTAGGTATAAGTATATGAGTACGAATACAGTTTAGATTTTCATTTTTTACCAACTCTTCAATGTTTCAAATGTCACAATTGATTGAACTATTCAATCATGTCAATCATCATTAGCGAATATGGAACCATGATATTGTTTATAAAAAAAGATCAAATGGGATGTTTCTAGAACATCCAATGAAAACATCTGATGGATGTCCCAAGAGAAACATCTCTGGGATATCGTACCTAAGTCTGAAACATTGGGACATTTGTAGGACCTTAGCGGGATGTACTAGCAAGATCCCGTGTTGTTAGGGAAATGGATGCGTTGCACAAAACCACAGACACAGAACTCGAGCACAGAGTGGATTGGTGATCTGTGACTTAAGAGAAAATGGCTACAAAACATACTATAGAAGAAGAAAAAGATCTACCTCAAAATCTAGTTCATAGTTCATTATTTCATTTCATTTTAAGTGATCTATCAGTGTCATATTAGTGATATTCTTTCAATCTGAATTAACTGAAATATTTCAATTGAACTGAACTGAATCAGTTGATATGCGTTCATTCAAATTACGTTCATTGTATGTCAACTGAGTCAGATCAGTTCGAGTGAAATGTGTCAGTACGTTCAGAACGAAAGAATATCACTATCAATGACGGCTTAATATCTAGACTGTTCGACACTCTAGATATTCAGCCGTCATTAACACTATTATAGTTTTTATTGAGTGACAAATGCAATGACAAATGGTGACAAGACCAAGTGTATGACGCGATGTGACGCATCTTGTATTCGTCCAATGAAATGCCATCAATATTTCGGTCGCATTCGAGCTATCTTTGAATTTAGGTTCAATTTAATAATATTTTCTGGGTCAACCGCAATCGTTAGAAAATTGAAAAAATGCTGAATTCACCCAGTATGTGTTCAAAATCGTGGAGAAAAAATTCAAAAAATCATGGTGAAATTCTCTATCCACACTAAGAACAATTACGCTCGGGTTAACGTGACAACAACACCGCACGGATTGTGGGCGTGGTCTTGTCAGTTCTCAGCGATCAGCACAATGTTGCCAAGTCTCCACATAAGATGTTCTGTTTTGGAGTATTGAAAATATTTGGACATGCTGATTGCTCTATCATGTTTCATTCAACGACAGAACTCTAACAACTTTTTGAAAACATGATTTCAATTGGTGACTTGGCAACCTTGTTTTATGAGTGGGAATGAAAGATTGTCTGACCAATAACTAAAGAGCATAAAAACTGATTTCACCATATTTATTCGACGTATCGCTATATGGCAACAATTTCAAACTGAGCATGGAATCATTATTCATAAGAAGAAGGCTTGAGAAGTGTTGCAAAAAATGATTTGGGTCCCTAACGATACAGTGGAATAATTGAATGCCAATAATTCAAGTCCACTCGCCCATTTTCTGAACGTATCAGTGAAACATCCAAATGAACGGAATGATAAATCTTGTGATTCATTCTAGTTTTACTAGATGATATGAGGTCAATCAGAAAATCACGGTTACTACCCAGGCAACCAAATGACGTTCCAATGACAAAAGTGACGTCAGTAGTTGACGTCGCATTGACGTGATAATGACGTGAATAAGTCACAGCCCAATGACGTCATATAATTCACGTCGTATTGACGTCATTCACTCACCAAACTGTGACGTTCGACTGACGTCATAATGACGTCGAAATAACGATTGAATTTGGCGATGATACGTAAAGAAGATTCCTTTAATATGGTGTGATTGACACCACTAGCCTCTGATGACATTATATAATATTGATTATGCATTATTGAGTCAGCTTGGTTGGTCCCTCCTGTGTCATGTTGATTCATTCGCCTATTCAGCAGCACCATTCTTCAGTACGCATCTCCATCAGATTGTAATCAGTTACTCGTATTTGTATCAAAAATTATGTAGTTTGTGTCGGCGAGATGTAAGCAAACAAAGAATAATTTGATAGCAATGGAAAGGATGTTGGCAAATTTGGCTTCACTTTGTTGAATAATATATATTGATGCATTCTTTGTCATCCAACAAGAATTTGAATAGATTATTGAAAAATTAACTAAATGACGAAGCTCACCAAATTGGTACGTCACACCGACGTGATTTTTAGACGTCATAGACACGTCACTGCAACGTCATAAGAGTAACGGTTTCAATATAGGTATACTTAAACAATCCATTTTTATATATACATAGCTTGTTGGTTTCCGAGATATACAGTGTGTCAAAGTATTTTAGAAAAAAGTGTTTTTACTACTTTTCGGGTATAACGATAATTTGAATGAAACTTGCATGTTGATTCACTTTCATGAGTTATACTTCTGTTTCACATGATAATATATAAGTATCCATGGTTTTGAGAATGTCTGAAAAATAGACGTCGACAGGACGTACCTGCAACGTCAAAAAACTGACGTCTTCTTTAAACCATCTAAGTGACGTTCACTCGACGTCGAAACGACGACGTGATTATCACGTCATAAGAAGTACGTCATAGTGACGTCATAAATTGGTGTGTGACGTCTCTGACGAAAAATCACCTATTAGGGATGTCGTAGTGACGTGATCATTCGTCATCTGGTTGCCTGGGTAAAACCATTATTTCAAGATACTTGACAGTGGTTTCATACTTGATAGTATGCACTTCGGAAATTCTCATATATTATTCTCAACCACGAAATATCCACAATACTCAAAGTGAAATGAAATGTAAAATAAATACACAAAAGCTCAAAGTTATAACCACTATGTTCATAGAATGAACATGAGTGCAACGTCATCTAGACTGAAAGGAAAGAAATCCTCCAAAAAACTGCTAGTTGTCCGACTTGAGTAACTTCAACAACAACGAAATAGTCAGAATGCTCGAAGTGGAATGAGATGTTGAATAAAAGCAAACAAGCTCACGAGAGATTCTTCAGAGACTACAAATATTGCTGATTGGGTTTTGTTGGGCCAGGTAACGCTTAGCCGGCGGTCTTTAGACTGCTAGCTGGAAACTACTCTGCACTGATGAGAACGAAAATTTTGAAATTTGTCTTCAGGTGTCATTGCGTCAAACTGGCTGAATGGAAATCAACCGGTTTTAGGAAAAGAAACTGTTGCTGGTATCGTTTTTATATAACGCTGCAAAGATTTCAGAACGATGTGTTTGAATGTTCTTCGTGGCATTTGCCAGAAGAGTGGTAATTTTTTCCCGTCATCCCTAACAACACGGGAACTTGCTAGTATATCCCGGTAAGGTCCTACAAATGTCCCAATGTTTCAGACTCAGGTACGATATCCCAGAGATGTTTCTCTTGGGACATCCATCATTGGTTGTTCTAGAAACATCCCATTTGATTTTTTTCTATAAACAATATCATGGTTCCATATTTGCTAATGATGATTGACATGATTGAACAGTTCAAACAATTGTGACATTTGAAATATTGGAAAGTTGGTAAAAAACGGAAATCAAAACTTTATTCGTACTTATATACTTATTTCATCGATAACAAATTGAAATAATCATACTAAATATTCCTCAATCAGATTACCACAGTACCTGCTTAACTACATGAACCATGTGATAAACGACAAAATTTAAATATATCTTTTCAGCATATTCATTGCTGAATTTATTTGTTATACCAGCCGATAGATGGCGGTACAACTACGTTGCTAAGAGTTACTAACAGCCGTCGGCCGAGCGCCTACAAATATGAGCTTCAAACAACTGTTATCATCTTTCATTGGTTATTGCACTGCACCGAACTTATATATTTTCGGATTCGGATTGTTACCTTATAGGTATCTGCAAATAGGTCGGCCATTCTCAGGATTTCAGAATGAAAATAATTCATACCGTGTCATCCAGCACTGTCATCAAATAAAAAACATCCTAAAAGTTTCTTCAAGATGTTCCATATCAAGTACACTGAATGTCTCTGGTACATCCCGTATCATCCCACAAACATTCTGATGGGATGTTTATAAGACATCGCAAATGCTGACACGGGTGTTGCCAGCAACATCCCAAAGATGTCCCAGAGAAAATAGGGATTTTCCAGAGATGTTCCTATCATCCCATATGGATGTTTCTACGACGTCTTACGGATTTTATTGTGTTATTAGGGATCTACCATTATTGTTCATTTCATGAACATTTCTGGAAATAACATTGAGCTTTTTCTATTCGGATGAGCGATAGTGGAGATTACTGATTATAAGAATGTCATCAAGAACTAATGAAAGTTCTTTGAGAGGCTTGATTTTGTGAAATTTGTTCCGTTGAGATACTTCGAGAACGACAGATTTTGATCATAAATTTCAAAGAATGAAATTCAAATGAAAATGTAATTGACAATTGTAGTACGCTGAGAAACGAGGATCATCAGCATTTTAACGAATGATTCAAATATTTGAATACTTCATCACCTCTTGATCACTTTTTAAAACCACATGTTGTCGGACTGTTGCGATAAGTAACTCGATTTCCCTTTCAGGTAGCCTCCGTCGAAGGCCAAGCAGCAATCAAAAGTGGTTCTCAGATACCCCTGAGTGTCCAACAACTGATCGACTGCTCAACCAGCTACGGCAACCACGGTTGTAATGGCGGTCTCACGATCAGTGGATTTAAATACATTCAATATAATGGTCTAGAGAGCGAGGCTGATTACCCGTTTAGAGGAGTCGACACCACTTGCAAAGCTAACGGTTACGGAAGAAGCGTTGTCAAATTGACTGGGTACAAGCAGGTCGAAGCTTCAGAGCTAAGCTTGAAAGAGGCTGTTGGTGAGTAAAGAGATTCTAGAAAATTATTGCCACAATAATTGATGCTTTGAATGTATCGAATATCTCGGTACATAAACGCATCAAAATGGTGAGACTTATACAGTGTGTCTCACTTCTGATGGAAACACCCCTGTATCTTACGTAATCGTTGGGTGAGGATCCCGAAATTTGCTGGCAGCGAAAGATATACCAAGAATGCACTCTATGACCAAGTGGGGTAATCTTCATGGGTTAACACTGCTCGCCAACTGTCATGGAACCACCCCAATGCCCGAAAAATCATATAAGGAGTCAAAATAGGTAGAAAATCACTTCGGATTCGGAATCAGAACGCTCAATCCACTAACTATACATATTTTTTCTGAGAATTTTGCTGTTCTGAAAAATTTACTTTCATCTCACTTTTCATGGAAACAACCCCGTATCTCACGTTATCGTTGGGTTGGGATCCTGGAATTTGCTGGAGCGAGAGATATTCCAAGAATACACTTTATAACCATGTGGGGTTATCTTCAGTAATATACACTGCGCGACCGTGGAACTACACAAATGTCCAGAAAATAATATCAAGACAAGAGAGGTTGAAAATCAGGTCCGTCCAATTCAATAACTTCTTATAGCTTGACGCATTATTATTGGTGATGATTTTCCTCATAGTATTAACAGATTCATTCATAATTCATTACAATCACACCCATCATGATTTCTGATCCTTTGGATCACTCCTGATAATCTATCCGATTGTACTAGTTCAGATTGTACATTTATTATCCCAAATGAGAACTGACTTTATGATTATCAATTTCAGACTGACCATTGAGTGAATTTTCCGATTCAATGAATTTTTCCTCCTGGAATGTCGGTGGTTCTGTGGCTGCTGGCTAGCAGTGTATTGAAGATGATCCTACTTGGTCATTAGTCTCTTTCTCTGTCCTAAGATACTGGGGTGTTTCTGGTGAAAAGTGAGGCAGAAGCTGAACATTTTTCAGAAGGAATATTGGTGAATTTGACGATCTGTTTTCTGTTCTTGAATCCGATGTGATTTTCAACCTATATTTTGTCTGCTAATAAGATTTTCCGGACATGCAGGTGGTTTCGTGGCTGCTAGCGAGCAGTGTATATCACTGATGGTGATTCCAATTGTTCATTGACTGTGTCCTAGGAATATTTCTTGCTTCTGAAAATTTAACGATCCTTACTGGATAATTACGTAAGATACGGAGGTGTTTCCATGAAAACTGAGACAAAAATTAAATTTTCAGAACTCGAAATTTTCCAGGAGAATATGAATAGTTAGTCTATCGGGCGTTCTGATTCCGAATCCGAAGTGATTCTCCCTCTATTTTGCCTCCTGATGTCATTTTCCGGAAATTGATGATGGATGACCCCACTCGGTCATAGAGTACATTTTTGGTATATCTCTCGCTCCAGCAAATTTCATGATCCTTACCTAACGAATACGTATGATACAAGGGTGTTTTCATTAGAAGTGAGACACACTGTATATGTCTGATAATAAACAATCGACTACAAATCACCGCTACCTTCGGTTCTCCAAATTATCCACTGAACATAATCATCCATTACAAATTTCTCCACCGAACCTAGAAAGTGATGCATCTGTGAAGTTTCTGGGGGTTCACCTAGATCCTGGACTGTCCTGGGAAACACATATCACTCAGCTCAGCTCCAAACTGTCTAGAATCACCTTCTTGATAAGGAGTCTATCAAGAAGTGTCTCTATGAGCACATTATTAACGACATATCATGCTTACTTTAGCTCTACCATGACTTATGCAATTTTGAACTGGCGTCACTCCCCAAACTCTGTTCAAATTTTCAAGTTACAACGACGTTGTGTTAGAATTATTGCAAGTATCAAATACCGCGAATGCTGTAGAGATGGCTATGTTAGGCTGAGGCTGCTCACCCTTCCGTGCGTTTTCCTTTTTCACTGTCTAGTATATGTGAAACGAAATCGGGAAAACTTAAGAACACAGTGATTTTCATTCATATTCGACTTATTATGGCATCAAATTTTTCAATGCTCTACCGACAGATGTTAAGCAGCTAAATCTAGATAGCTTCAGATCTACAGTCAAAAACTATCTCCTAAGAAACGCCTTCTATTCCCTCGAGGAGTACCTTGAGAGTGACTTAAGGACATTTAAGTTTTATCAGTTAGACCTATTTTAATATGTAACACCTATTTCAATATGTTAAACCTATTTTATCTACTCCTATTAAATTATATATCAATGATTCAACTGCCTTTGTACAATTAATAGTATCTGTAAACAAACAGCGTGAGTTATAATAACTCTCGCTACTATAACTCACTATAATACTTACATCGAGAAAGGCTCTTGGAATTATTTACGAACCGAAAATCAAGATGGCTCAGTACTTTTGTACAAGCCAGTTGGCCGAAAGGGAACAGTCCATTATTGTTATTGAGGGGAGTGATGTCAATTGAATAATTTTGACGTTTTCAAACTAGGCTGATACAATTATTGTGATTTTTTTGATGAATTCAGATAGTGAAGATGGATTATCATTTGAATTTCCATATGGAAAATATCACTCACAAAGAATGGCATTGATAAATTTTGAGCAATGGGGAAAGACATTGCCACATTTCTGAAATTACCAGACTGTAATTTATATACAGGGCATTGTTTTCGCCGCTCGTCGGCAACTTTATTAATAGATGCCGTACGGCACTGAAACGCCATGGCGGTTGGCGATCAACTACTGTGGCTGAGGGGTACGTTGATGATTCCGAAAAGAATAAGACAGATACTGCAAATAAAATATACAGTTCTATTACAGCTCAATCAGTTAGTACATCAACAACATATATGCAACAAACACAAAAAGAAACAATAAACTTCCATAATTCAGTAGGTACCAACATATTCAGTTTACTGTTAACTTCACAGTTAATTCTTTCAATAAACAATATGCGAATGATTGAATCTAAAATTTGTATTAAGTATATCAAGATTTGTCAATGAAGTTCTTTCTCTGTACTTGTAACTTAGGATTTATTGTAATAGTCGTAGATAAAGTATAGTATTCAACTTGCGGTAATGGTCATAACTCACTTGATGAATTACAGCACTCGCCTGTGGCTCATGCTGCAAACTTCATCTGCGTGAGTTATGACCTACATTACCGCTCGTTTAATAATATACTATTATCTACTCCTATTAAATTATATATCAATGATTCAACTGCCTTTGTACAATTAATAGTATCAATAAACAACCAGCGTGAGTTATAATAACTCTCGCTACTATAACTCACTATAATACTTACATCGGGAAAGGCTCTTGGAATTATTTACGAACCGAAAATCAAGATGGCTCAGTACTTCTGTACAAGCCAGTTGGCCGAAAGGGAACAGTCCATTATTGTTATTGTGGGGAGTGATGTCAATTGAATAATTCTGACGTTTTCAAACTAGGCTGATACAATTATTGTGATTTTTTTGATGCATTCAGAAAGTGAAGATGGATCATCATTTAAATTTCCATATGGAAAATATCACTCACAAAGAATGGCATTGATAAATTTGGAGCAATGGGGAAAGACATTGCCACATTTCTGAGATTACCAGACTGTAATTTATATACAGGGCATTGATTTCGCAGCTCGTCGGCAACTTTATTAGTAGATGCCGTACGGCACTGAAACGTCATGGCGGTTGGCGATCAACTACTGTGGCTGAGGGGTACGTTGATGATTCCGAAAAGAATAAGACAGATACCTACTGCAAATAAAATATACAGTTCAATAACAACTAAATCAGTTAGTACATCAACAACATAATATATGCAACAAACACAAAAAGAAACAATAAACTTCCATAATTCAGTTCCACATATTCAGTTTACTGGTTGTTCAAACTTCACAGTTAATTTTTTCAATAAACAAAATGAGTGATTGAATCTAAAATTTGTATTGAGTATATTAAGATTTGTCAATAAAGTTCTTTCTCTGTACTTGTAACTTAGTACTTATTGTAATAGTCGTAGATAAAGTATAGTATTGAACTTGCGGTAATGGTCATAACTCACTTGATGAATTACAGCACTCGCCTGTGGCTCGTGCTGCAAACTTCATCTGCGTGAGTTATGACCAACATTACCGCTCGTTGAATAATATACTATTAATATGTAAAATGTGTGTCGTTCAATTCACTTTTTGATTTTCAAGTATTATTCTTACTATATTATTATCATTCAAACAAGTACTTCATATACCCTATAGACCTGTAAAAGCACTATGTGTTATACTTTACCAATAAATAAACTAAAACTTACTATTCATTCAGTGCATTCGCTATTATAGGAGTACTGGTCTTCTAGTAGTCCAATAATTAGGCTACTCTGGTCACATTGAAATTCAGAATATCAGTTGCTCGAGTGGAAAATAGTGACTGTTCACTTTTCTTCATTCGTTTCTGATTTCGTGGTTGCAGTATTGCTGATCTTCTGTGGACCCCGCAGTACTCAATACCCTATTACAAGTGCTGGCTCCATGCAAGTGATTGTTTCGTTAGATTATCCAGAAGAGATGGGGTGAGAATCTCATCCTCACTTTATTAAAATGCCTTGGAAATACTCGTCTAGACAAATAATTCTGAAGTTTTGCCGATTCACGGAGAGTCTTTTCAGAATATATACAACATTTTATTTTAGTGACATTGATAGGATACCTTCGTCCTGTTTTCTAGTTCTCTGAGATGGAATGAGAATCCTAATAAAAAATACAGTATGAATGGTACTCTCATCTGCTGTGAATAGGGCGGATGATTATTCGTCATTGACTAAACTACTATTCACATGTCAGCAATTCGATTGGGATAACGCGAACAATGTTTTCTCGTTTTGACTGGAAAAAATAATAATGTCATTTCGCTCAATGTTGGAATCGTACCAAAAATGAGAAGTGAAGATGAACAGACCCTTTTCTTTCGAGATAGGTCGGCATTCCTACAAAATTCCACCCTGTGATTGGAATGTTCATGGAATATCCTTTAAACCTATCCAATGAATATCCGAGAGATATATTATTTTATTTACAACATTTTCGCGATAATAACTGGATATAGGACGTAATAGGTATATTACAGAAATATCAGAGGTGCCTGATGGGTTGATTTTGATTGATAAGCTGAACCAATTTTTCTCTTATCTCTTGATGAAGAATTTTACTCTGGGTTTTCTCCATCTGTGTCTCTTATCGAGGATAAGTCACACTCTTGATTCTTTCCACCTGGATGGAGAAGCACACGACTTGATGGAGATGTAACTTTCTCTGACACCATCAATATGTCTCATGATGCGTGAATCATTGGTGAATATCCAAACTATAACATGGTATATTGTTGTTTAGAACAACAATTTTAGAACAATAGGTATATTACAGAAATATCAGAGGTGCCTGCTGGGTTGATTTTGATTGATAAGCTGTACCAATTTTCTTTTTCTCTCTTGATGAAAAATTTGACTCTAGGTTTGCTCCATCTGTGTCTCTTATGGAGGATAAGTCACACTCTTGATTCAATCCCCCTGGATGGAGGAGCACACGACTTGATGGAGTTGTAACTTTCTCTGATACCATCAATATGTCTCATGATGCGTGAATTATTGGTGAATATCCAAACTATAACATGGTATTTCTATCATTTTTCTTCCTTCAAGGTACTATTGGACCGATCTCGATTACTGTCTACGCTACGCTGTGGAAATCATACGGTGGTGGAATTTTCAACAATGAGTTGTGCTTGGGCGATACCCTCAACCATGGTGTGACTGCTGTAGGTTATGGAGTGGAAAACGGAGAAAAATTCTGGACCATCAAGAACTCCTGGGGAGCTGAATGGGGAGAATCCGGTTATATCCGACTCATCCGTGACACGAATCACAGCTGTGGTGTAGAGCAGATGGCCAGCTATCCCATTGTTGCATAAACTGACTTGAAAATAAATTGATACATCCATTACCCAAATTGAGCGTTATTGAAATTTCCTTGTTTTCCATAATATGTTGTTGAATACTTCATTTCAGCACTAGTAGTGAGAGCAATACGAACTTGGTCGACAACGTAACTTATTGTTCTCTGAGGCGTAGTCCAACAAGCATTTTAGATGTTGGGAATATTCTTTCACTTCCACTGCAGGAAAGCAGTTATAAAAATGCAAAGAATGCAAGTAACAACATTTTCATGACAAAATAGACAAATAGATACACTTATAGCTAGTTCGGTCGGTATGAAGAACACCATTCGATGGTATATAAATTTTCCTGGAAATTCAATCACGTCGAGAAGTCATGGCAGAAGAGGACTTCGGTCGATAGCCATTTTAGCATTGTTGTTCAATGAAATGAATGTCAAGGCTTTAAAATAATCGATATAACGCCGTTCTTCACTAAAAAATATCATACTCGACATAGATGAAGCATCGTTAATATGACTGGAGTCACTGAATGGTATTAATTAGATGGTTAGAAAAGAGTTCAGACACAGAAAAGACAACTGATAGTCTTCTGTAGTAGTCCATGCTCAAAGTGGAGTGGAATGATCAATAGAGAAAAAAACCCAAAGTCGTCTCCACAATATTCAATTTATAATCTGGCAGTCAATCCTGCTTCATTAGGGTTAGGTTAGGTTAGGTTCCATGTGAGTGGGGCGAACACCTCCCCTCCACTGCGACCCCAGATGGGTCTATTGTGGCTCACCCTTAGAGGTTACAGTTCACCGTACAATCCACATCTTTTTACAAAGTTCATGGTTGAATTGGGTGAGATTTGTCTGAAATCGATAGGTTCTAGGTTGGTAAAGCCAAATGTGTCGAACCTTAGTCTTTCTAAGCTAGAGCATGAGCATAATATGTGTTCAGCCGTTTCGTCTTCCACACAACAGAACCGACAGTCCGTTTGTTGGTTCAGACCCATCCTTCCCAGGTGGTATCTTAGACGACAGTGTCCCGTAAGCAGTCCAGTCAGAATTCGCAGGTTACCCCTGCTCCATTCTAGGATCTGCCTGGTTATTTTTTCCGATGGTTTAGGCAGGAACGCCTTCGAATGGGTTAATCCTGGTAATTCGGACCAGTACGTGAGTGTTTTTCCCTCCGCCCAGCCCGAGATAGTTGTTTTCGCCGCACTTGCGGTGACCCCAAAATATGGTTCTGGTCCTATGAACACAGATTCGGTTCCCTGTTTGGCGAGGATGTCGGCTTTCTCGTTACCCTCCACCCCCTGGTGTCCAGGTACCCACAGCATAGTGACTCTGTTGTTAGCACCCAGGCTTTCTAGGGATTCAATGCAGCTCCATACAAGCTTGGAATTTATCTTGCTGGAGCTCAGTGCTTTAAGAGCAGCCTGACTGTCTGATACAATACTGATATTTTTGTTTACTAGAGGTTTATTCGACAGCTCTCTAGCACACAATTCAATTGCGAATACCTCCGCCTGAAAGATTGTAGCATATTTGCCGAGATTGACAGAAATTTCCGTCTTCGGTTTTCTGCTGAACACACCGGCTCCCACTCCACGAGGGGTTTTCGAACCATCTGTGTACATTACGTGTTCGGTCTCTGGGAATCGGACTGATCCGCTTGCCCATTCGTCTCTCTTCGGGAAGAGGACTTTGAAAGACTTTTTCACGTGTGTCTGAGTGGCCAACATGTCGGAAACCATTCCTAGAGTTTGGTGATTTTTTGTTTCACACAGTATCCCGGAGTGGTCCAGCAGTCGCCCCCCTCTGATTTGATTTTCCAATGACAGGAATCTGTAGGAAACCATCCTGGCTTCCCTCTCCAAGACAATGTGGAGGGGAGTGAGGTTCAGGAGGTTTTCCATCGCTGCCGTTGGAGTAGAGGACATCGCCCCTGTAATGGCCAGGCACGCCAGCCGCTGGAGACCAGCAAGCTTTGCCCTGGCTGTTCCCTGCAGACCTTTGGTCCACCAGACTACCGAGCCATACGTGACCATTGGTTTTACCATTGTTTGGTAAATCCAGTAAATCTGTTTGGGGTTCATTCCCCATGATTTGCCGCATACCCTTCTGAGGTTCCAGAGGGAAAATCTGGCTTTGTTAATAGTTTTTGCCATATGGGCGTTCCAGGTGAGTCTTTTATCTAGGGTGACCCCTAGATATTTCACCTCCGTCGCAAACGGAATGCTCTCTCCATATAGGACAGGCTGACGAAGCTTATCTAGCTTTTGCCTTTTGGTAAAAGGGATAATTACAGTTTTCCGGGGGTTCACAGACATCTGCTCCCTCTCGCACCACCTGTACACAGTATTGAGGTCTTCTTGTAGGCCGTTTGAGATCGTCGCTTCAAATTTCCCTCTTACTATTAGGACGAGATCATCTGCATAGCATTGGAAATCCACCCCCTGCATGGAGAGATCGCTCAGCAGAGAGTCAACCAAAAATGACCACATAAGGGGGGAAAGTACCCCGCCCTGTGTTTTTAACCGCCAGCTTAGTTGCAAAGCAACCCTCGAAAGTCAGAGACTTGTGTGAGTTAAGAAGACGGGGACCTTAGCTTTTTAAGTGTCATCCGAAGCACTACTCGGCTGGTAACCGTGGACAGTCCAAAGGATTGATATCTAGGTACCAAGAATGTTGGGTTGGCCACCTATCTCCTCCCGCCCAACGAAACTACCGAAAATTAATTCAGTGCTCGCGCCGGGGATCGAACCCGGACCGCCTGGGCAACAGCCAGCGACTCTACGCTCACGGCCACCAGCCCAGGCCCAGACCACCTGTGGACAACCTTTTGCCGCCCTAAACCTGATCGACCCTCCATGCAGTGATGATATGACGTACCGATTTCCAATCATGGTTTTGATCCAGTTGCATATTTGCCTGCTGATTCCTCTACCTTGCATTGCCATGTAGAGTGATTGTGGTAGGGCGTTATTGAACGCTCCTTCTATGTCTAGGAAGGCTGCCAGCGCAATTTCCTTATGATCTGAGGAATGGCTGATCTTTCCTACAAGATTGTTCAGTGCTAAATCCGTTGATTTGCCTGTTTGGTAGGCATATTGATGGGGATTTAGGGGATGCTCCCTTAGATTCCCCTCTCTAATATGCCTGTCTAGAATTCTTTCTAGAGTTTTCAATAGGAACGAGGTAAGGCTGATCGGTCGGAAGGATTTGGGTAGGGAATGATTCGCCGTACCCGATTTGTGTATATACACAACCCTCGCTGTTGACCAGCCTAACGGAATGTAGCTCCACGCCAAACTCGCTCTATATAATTTAACCAGGAGAGGTAGTAAAACTTCTCTGCCCTTTTGTAAGAGGGCAGGAAAAACTCCGTCCTCTCCCGGAGACTTGAATGGGGAGAAACAATTCACCGCCCATTCCACTGACTCTGGGGTGACCACCATTGAGGCATTCTTCCAGTCCTCCTTTTTTGGTCGTATTATCGATCCCATTGGAAGTGGAATCTGCTGACGGTCCTCCAGGAGCAGGCTGCCGGGAAAGTGAGTCTGTAGAAGAACCTCTAACGTTTGCCTACCAGAGTCCGTAAAAGAGCCATCCGGTCGTTTTATCGAGCCGATCTCTTGGGTCGGATCTCTGGCGAGAGCCTTGTGAATTCTCATGCTGGCAGGTACATCTGATATACTCTGACAGAATCTCCTCCAAGAGTCTCTTTTGGCTTTCCTTATTTCTTTGTTATAAGCCGTTAGAGATGTGCGGTAAGTGTCCCAGCACCCTGCATCTTTAGCTCGATTGAAGAGACGTCGAACTTCTTGCCTTTTTTTGTCCAGGCTCTTGCTCCACCAGGGTGTACCTCTGTGGTCTTTCTTCTCCTTTAGTGGGCAGTTGTCCTGATAGGCCGTTAGAATTGCGGTTGCTATACGCTCATTCGCCACTTCGATTTCGGCACTATTTTTGATAGTACTGATTCTGGGATCAAGGTGCTTCTGGAGAGATTCACAGTACCCATTCCAGTCTGTGCACTTAGGATCACGAAATTGTACTATTGGTCGGTGTCCTGTTCTCACATCAAATCGTATATGTCTATGATCTGAACATGAGGGCTCCGTAGATACTTGCCAATTAACGATCTTCGTACTCATAAATTGTGTACTGATTGTTAAGTCTAAAACCTCTCCGCGAATTCTGTTCACGAAAGTTGGCTCCGAGCCTACGTTATTTACGACTAGCCCTTCACCTATTATATAGTTATATAGGTACTCACCTCTTTCATTGATGTTGCTACTTCCCCAGTCCAAATGGTGGGCATTTGCATCACATCCAATGATCAGTTGCCTGTTTTTCCCCTTGCAGAAGGCGATTAGCTCTCGCACTGCTGCTGGAGGAGGATGTTCTCTCAGGTCGCCCGGGAAGTATGCAGAGCAGACTACTACGTCTATGCTGCTGTCCCCCACCGGGGCCGAGAGCTGAGCTGCAACCACATCGGGGGTGCAGAAACCTGTTAACATAAAGTAGTTGATGTTATTCCGGATAAGTATACAAGCCCTAGGTTTGCCACCTGTAGTGCATGCAATCAACTTACCAGAGCAGTTTCCCAGGCCGCTAATCCGGCCTGTGTTGGAAATCCAGGGTTCCTGGATCAATGCCACATCAAGTTTTTGACAGGCGAACCTCCTGCCAAGGACGAAAGAGGCCGCTTTGGCATGTTGGATATTCGCCTGAAGGAACGAGATGTGGGTAGCCATCTTCCCTACGAGGAGGGAGGGCAAGGAGGATTGCTTTCCCCTCTTGCCTCAGGTTCCGGTCCACCTCGTTTTTTCGGCGCCTTACCTCGAAGGGGTTTTTTCTTCTTGCCTGTAAAGGCCGTTTTGGTTTTTTCGGCAGCTTTGGCCGAAGTCCCCGAGCCCGCAGTCCCCTCCAAGTTGGATTTGTCCCCCTTTTTGGGTCTCGCGATTCTGCTCGAGGACTCCGGCCCCGCTGCCGATGCCGGATCTTTCTTCGAGTTCTTGAACC